ACATGAAAGTATCAAGAGCAAAATACAGTTTTTGAACGAACTTCAAAAAGTTAAATCTAGAGGACCTTGAGGTATTTATTAGGGATGCACGATATTGGGATTTTGGCCGATATCCGATATTTTAGAACTCATGTAGCCGATAACCGATACCAATGTTAAAGCTGGACAAAAATAAGTAGTTATTAAAAATAGCAGTTTTGTTATCCATTTCTGACACTTTGAAAAATAATATACTCAAATATATTTTCATATGCTGATATCAAATTGATTTTTTAAACACGCGGTATCGATCTATTTTACTTTCAAAATCTCGTGAAATTTCATCGTTCTGTTACAAACTCTCGTGATATTTTGCAAATTCTTGTGAGATTTTGTTAGTAAAATCGCGTCAATATATCAACATATGAAAATATGGCAAAATTTCGGGAATTTTCGGGGGATTTCGTAGCATAACGATGACATATACCAATATTTCGTTAATAAAAGATATTGATATGGTGTTTTTAAATGGCAATATATCAGCATATGAAGATATTGTGATATTTTAATGTATCAATATTTTTTCCCTCATCTTTAGAAGTTTTTAAGTCTGTAAAAAAGAAGTTTTTGAGGAAGAAGAAACTCAGAAGCTGATCAAATATCGGGTTAAATATCGGTGGGGTGGCCGATGTCCGATATTCAGTTTTAAGGCCGATACAGGCCGATACCGATATGGGGCCGATTATATCGTGCATCTCTAGTATTTATACAAAGAAGGATGGGCAAGAAAATCAGCCCCTGGATGGCAAGGCTCGTTGATACCAACCTCTAAAGAAGAACGGCTGTAATTGCATTAAAAGTTGGTTTTATTAACTGTTTCTCTCAAGGGAACTTAATGAAAATACATTTCAACATTTTTATATTTATTATATCTGTTTGCCTGCCTCATAAACCATTAAAATCATATTAAAACTTGTTATTATAATGTAACAAATTGATAAGTATGCATATGTATGTTTAGATATATTCATATGTCCATTTATCTTTATTAATGAACCTCACAAATGCAAGCAGTGAAATGTGGGCTACATTTCTTAGAAAAACAAAGAAGGTTTTTAGAAGCTGAAAATCAGCACTATCAAAATATCAATATTTATTGAATACTAATGATACAAACTCATGGCTGGCTTGAGAAATTAAAGAGCAAATTGACATTTTTAACTCTAAGATTAAGATTTATATAGATAGTTATTAATCATCATCTCATCTTCCTGTTCTGTTTTAGAATCAGTCCTATAAAGGAGTGGTAAGGGATCCGTACTCCGGCGATGTGGCCAAGGTTGCAAACACAATGAAGAAGGAGCTGGGTTTGGGTCCCATCGATGGAGAGTCATCAAACAAACCCAGTGTCCGGGTCCACCAGGGGGTCCGAGACCTCCACGAGTCCTCCTTTAGTCTGTCAGGTGGTTTAGAATAAACCCTTAAACCTCTCGATCTAGTTTATTTTGTTGTGTCTATTCAAGTCTTATTTAAATGCATCTTTGCTGTCAGGTTCTCAAGTTGACGACCACATCCCGAAGAGGTCCTCTGCTCGGATCCTGGCTCCTCCTGGGGGCCGCTCCAGTGGTATTTGGTAATGGGCGGTGCTGGAGTCCAAACCGCTTTGACCTCTGTGTTTTTGTTTTATTTCCAAGCAACCTGGAAAACTGCACTGATTTTGAACAACATAGGATAAAAAAAAACCTTCAAAAAAAATGGAAGTAGCAGTCTGAACCATTTATTAATTGGTGTTTTACGAAACTGAAAAGTAAATTTGTTATAAACTGATATGAACTGCTTAATAACATCAAATTAAAAGGGCTTTGTTTGAATTTAAAATGTTTTTTCCAAATTTTACTCATTTTAATAACATGATTCAGTGGTGCTTTTAAGCATGTAATGCATTTTAATAAATGAAAGATTAAAAAAAAAACAGTACAGTTTTTAATGGTTGGAAATACAGTGATGTTGACTGAACTATTTAAGAGAAGTGGATTAAAACCCTTCACTGACACACATACAGTACACTGTAAACACCATGGCGTTATAGTTCCTAGTGATTTTGTGTGTGGATCCTGTTAGTGATTGAACGACCCCACTCTGTGGGCCCCCTGCCGCTCCACAGAGTGTTTTTTTTTTTTTTCCAGTGGACCAACAGTTCTGTGTGGTGATGAAATCTCACTGCTTCTGACATTAGGTCTGTATTTATACTTCCACTGCCTCCAGCAGTGTCATTTGAACACCCTGCCTCACCTTAAATGCCATGAGTTTAGTCCCAGTTATGATCCAATAAAATCTCAATTCTGGCACAGTTTCATCTTGTGTGTGGGTTCTGTTGCCCTTGCAGAGTATCTAAAGGGAAAACAAGAAGCTAATGTTAAATTTCTTTTCTAATAGTCTCTGTTGTCCCAGTTTTTTATTTTTTATTTTTTTGTTAACCCGATTCTGACAATGGAGTTTATTGTAATTCACATGGCTGGAGGAATACAGTCCCCTCATTCCAGAGAGATTACTTTGAGCCATTTGAGTGAAAACAATAAACAAAGGGAGTCTTCTCTCTGTAACCATACAGTAATTAAGATCCGAAATGCAAAAATTATCATTTTATCATTAGTGAATATTTGTGTGTGTCCCAAAGGTCTCTAGTGTAATTTAATCTCTATTTCTTTTTATGTTAACAGTTTGTTGTTTTTACCACTGGCAGCTTGTTTTTTTGCATAAGTCTATAATTTGACATATTTTTTAAACTCCTTGTTTATAAATGTTATACAAATGAGACCACAAAAGTTATATAGAGAGATCCTAACGTAGTCAAATATAAATTGAGGTTATTGTTGCAGAAAGACTGAGCTGCACAGGCTGAAGCTAAGGAAAACCACTGATCCTCTCACCTCTGGGTGATGTCTTATTCCTGCCTTCCAGTATTATATTTATGCACTGTCTCATTATTCAGTGTGGGTACTCTATATATTTAGAAATTAGTGTTTTTTTATTTTGTTAAAAGATCAAATGTGCCAATGGGAATCACCTGCGCCTCACTGCTAACAATGCACGGAGAGAACCACTTTAACACTTGCAGTGCAGTCTCCATCGAAGGCCACAGGTTCATAAAAACTGGTGCTTTTTTTCTAGGATTGTTTACATCTGTTACCGTATTGTTGCACATTTGTGTGTTCTGTTGAGGGCACTGTGATTCAGTGGTTGTGTTTGTGGATTTTGTTGGAAAGTGAACCTGTTAAATCCATAAGTGGCTGCTTGTTTCTTACCACAAAAATAACAGAAACTAAATAAATGATTTTAAAATGCAACTAATGTGGGTTTTGTCTATTTCTTTGTATATATTTTTTAATATTATTAACAAATAGAATTGTTGTTTCTATTATTACAGTTTTGCTCAGGTTTTAACTGACTAGGCACAGGCCGGTATAAATGCGGTTTGAAAAGTAAAACTAAAAGACGCCAGAGAAAATGACCCCATGAATGCTAAGTGGTAATGTTCAGGTTGAAATAAAATCTATATTTTGATGAGTTTATCTTTAAAATTGTGTTTCTGCTCAAGTTACACACATTGTGATGAAAAAGAAAATCCAGTGCATATAATAACACAGTACACTTAACATTTTCATCAATTTTCCTTTTTTGAAAAAAAATTGCTTCAGTTTTGCAGATGATTTTAATGTTCAACATTGTAAAGATAATTATTAGAGATGTTAAACAATTAAACAACTTATTGGAATGTGAAAAAAAATCTTTGAAAGGGCTGTGCAGCAACAACCTAAGTACTGAAGTTAAAACACCAGATGAAAACAGTTTGCTGTAAGTGAAATATTATCCTCAGAAATAATAAATGAAATGATCAATGTATCCCACAAAGATCTTATTTTTTCAGTGTGCGATAAGCCTGAACAAAACACTCTCTGGTTATTTCCTCTCTTTAGCCCAGCTTCTAACTTTCTCTGGATCAAGAGTGGCTTGATTGAAGAAGACATTGTAAGATTTTTTTCTGCACATAGTAGTTCTAAATGCACTGATTCCAACATTAGCCCACTCGCTGTTATGTAGGCAGATATTCTTGAATATTCTCAATTCCATTTCAAGAGCGAGATCATCTGTGGTAGTAGCACTAGACATCTTCCAGGCATGTGAGTAAAACTAGCAGCAGTTCAGCGGACAGGATGAATGAACAGTAGCCGACGCGCGCGGATGACGTCACACACGTCGCTTTGTTTTTTAAAACCTATAAATATAAAAAATATAACCACGGATGTCTGGGGGACAGTGATTCGCCTACATGTTATGAATGCTGGCGTACCATAAATGATGAATTATGAACAGTTTAGTTTGTGCCTTCAACTCGTTGCCCATAGGAAGACGTTACTTGGATATAACCTAACGGACTATCTTCAGAACAGCTCCAAATGACACAAAACTCATATGTGTGAGTAGAACATGATGTTATAAGGTAAAATCAAGGGCCCAGTGTAAAAAAAACAGTGTTCCCCTTTAAGGTCCATCTTATAGCTGTTGCTAGTGAAACTTTTCCCACCAGTTTTTCCTTCCACTCAACATTCTGTGACTTTGCTTGGATACAGCACTACAGTGAATTCCCAACTCCTTTAGCAATATATATGTATATATATATATATATATATATATATATATATATATATATATATATATATATATATATATATATATATATATTGCCGTGGGGAGTGTATAAATACCTGCCTTTTGCACATATTACAAATGAAAAATATTGCCTATGATTGTTAAAATATAAATTTTTCCAGTGATTAAACAGGCCCCTTTTATCAGATACAGGGGCTAAAGTAGGGCTACTCATGATGATATGAAATTACCCAATAGTTAAGATACTACTTTGGTTTGAATGAATGAAAATTTCAAATTTGCTACCCTAACTTTAATTCTGTCGAAACCCATCTTTTTCCAACAATCCAGCTTCCTCCCCTCCGCTGCACCAAGTGCTTCCTGTGTGGCGCATGCGCAGTTCCAGCGGCTTAGCTGGAGAACAGTCGGATAGCAACGGGAAGACCAGGCATCAACAGAAACAACGACACAGTGGTCAAAGGGGACGGCTTTCGCCTTGGTGAGTAACATATGTTCACCTTTACTCGGAGTCCAAACCCTGCGAGACTCAAGTTGACGTTTTTGGTTGCAAATTTGATTAATTTCATAGACAAACACTCGTCCCGTCCCACAGGAGACGGACATTCTTTCATTGGAGTGATGCGTGTTTCTGTTATGGAAAAGGCCTCCAGAGGAGGATGTGCTTTAAGGAGAAAAACACCGTTTTCAGTGTCAGCCGTGCCGACTAGCCGTCCTTTGATGTTGAAACTAAACTGACCCGAAGCTTATAAAAATGGTCTAATCGCATTTATCGCTTCAATTCGCTCTTTCGCTCCCGTTACCGTTGTCGTTAGTCAGGAGCTAGCTTGCCTGTCAGTGCATTTAACGGATATAGCTTCACGCGCAGTGAAGTTACTTTCAAGTTGGATATTTGACAGAGATTCGCTCCAGCTAAACATCTTCTTGGCTCCGTTCTTTCTAAACATCTTCTTGGCTTCATTTAAAGCTTTTCCTTGTTCTGATAAACCTGTTCTTCGCTCCGGGTACGCTGCAAGAAGAGAAAGCCAGTTCTAAGTGCACCTGTATTACAGACTTTACAGTAAAAAAGCAGCAATACAAAAGCATATGCAGCGACTTCATGTTAAAATAAGTCTAATTTTCTAAGCTGGGAAGCTATCTAGCTAAAATATTAATATTTATGTCATATATAATAATTAAACATATGTAGGGATTTGAAATTATAAAAAAAGGTATTCATTATAGAGCTGGTGGCGTATGATTTCACACTTTTTTTCTCACGTTTTTTAGGCAATTGATCACATGACCTATTGGGGGTAAAATGTAAATAATTTAATATAAAGTTTTATCGAAAATATTTAGGGATTTGTAATCCATAAATAAAAGGCTTAACCTTTAATTATGTGTACTATGAGCCCATACTGACTTTGAGTCAATTGATCACAGGATCTAGAAGCCATTGAGCTAAAATACTAATATTTTCATGCACAAATTAATCATAATAGTTTAGGATTTGAAATGTAAAAATAAAATGCTGAGCTTGTGAAGCTAGTTGAGTAGCCTACAATGATCCAACACGGATTTTGAGTTACTTGATCACATGACCTGGACGCTATTGAGCTAAAATTCTAATATTTTACTAAGAATTATTTTAAATATTGATTAAGTGATTTTTTTCATATATAGTTTTTCAGGAAGCTTAATTTCCCTGGGTGAGGGGTCAGACAATGAGCATTTTATTATGACAAATCGATCAATACTGTCCAGTCTGGCATATTTGGCCCCACCCTAGTGCCAGACCTGGGATTGGGGTTCATATGCAACCTGATTGGGACGCCATGAGGGACAGGTTCAGAGAGGAATGAGCAGCGGTGGAGGCGACCCAATCCATGGTCACTTAAAATGACTTTCCCACCTCTCTGGTGGGGAAGAAGCCTGAGCTTGTGCTTGAGGTGGAGCGATACTGGCTAACCTGCTTCCACGCATAGAACAATCAGTTCGTTTTAGTTCATTTTTATATGAAAATATTACAATTTTAGCTCAATTGCCTATCTGTCATGTGATTGATTGACTCAAAATCAGTGTAGGATCATAGTTCTTCACTGGCTTCAAGAGTTAAAGCTCTTATTTCTTACATTTCAAATCCCTAAATATTTGTAATTAATTTTTATATGAAACTATTTGCATTTTAACCCAATAGCTTCAAGTTCATGTGATCAATTGACTCAAATTCAGTGTTGGATCGTGGTACACCACTGGGTTTATGAGATACACCTTTTATTTTTGAGTTGGAAATCTCTGTAGCTGTTTTTTTATGCTGAGTTTTTACTGTAATGTCTGTAATAAGGGTGCAATGAAGCACTGTAGAGGTTTTCTCAGATAGGGTACCTGACAAGAGGTTTAACCAGAGGGGATGGTTTTTGAATGTCTGTTGTACATCCAACTTAGAACTAACCTCACTGCGGTACAGCCTCATCTGTTAAGAGCCCGACTGAAGCCGTTTAACCGACCAGAACCAGGTTCAGGATCCTGTCAGAAGCAGTCAACTCTCCCATGTGTATCAGTGACCCTCTTTTGAATATGTGAAAGCAGATTTATTAGGCTGCTAACACGGATAAACTCTAAACACTAATCAAACATTAGTCCTATCAACAATGATAAAATGATTCAAATTGATATGAAATACTTGATGAAAAATTGCATGATTTATTAAATGATCTTAAGTCGTTTCTAAGCCCCATTTACTGTTTTACCAATCTACAAAATTTAACATTCTTAAATCTATATAAACGCTTTTTACTATTTGACTCATTTTAATTTGTAACAGCTTTTTTCGCCTTGGTGTTTAATATTAATTAAGTTTAATTGGGCATTTTTGTTAGTGGTTAGTTTTTACTCTCAGTAGTTTATCCTTGTTTCCTCAGGATTTAAACACGAAAAAAAACAATGTTTTTGACTGAAAGCTTTAGTAATTTGTGAATTAATGTCCCGCCAAGATGTTCAGTGAAAACTTGGTTAAACATGCAGCTCTGCAACTAGATCCTTTTTATGTTGCTTTCCTGGCCCTTTGGAAAACTGGTTAAACTGCTGCCTGTGAGGATCTTTAATCAGGAAGTGGTTGTTCAGCATCACATCATGCATTGTAATGATGTAGGAGCACATCAGATCAAAGGAAACATTTCAGTAACTCACTCTTTCAGTGTGATGCTTCATGTTGTGGATACCATTCCTGGTGGTTTGGGCTAAACTGTGGTAGAACATGTTAAATGCTCAGGCTAAAGGGATTAACTGAGGCAGAGATTAGGCGCCTATGAGCAAACTAGTTTATCTCTAAGGGACAAGGAAAGGAGAGGAAACACATCAGTCCTTGGACATTAGATATGTTAATTCAATCTATGTGGCTAGAAGTTATCCAAGTTGTATAATTTAGGACTAAAATGATTAAATTAACTTTGATCATCCATCAGGTAATCATTAACTGGAGCATGAAGACTGAAATGTGCGATTTCCTGAAAGAAAACCCCGCCTTGCATCTGATCTTTCAGGATCCCAAATGAAAAGCACTAAATTGCTTTGAGAAAAATAATTACTTTTGCAATTATTTTTTAAATGGACAAACATTGCATTTGCAACAGCAGGTGAAAAACCAGTTTGAGAAGCCCTTATTTAAATATGGAAATTTCAGGTACCTGTATTTTATTTTGAGGATGGCTGTAAAAGTTAGTTAGAAATACTAACTTCCAAGCCTTTAAATGACAGATAATAATTGTAATGATATAAAAAGAAAACACACATATATATATATATATATATATATATATATATATATATATATATATATATATATATAATATTAAATATTATTTGTAATTTACCTTAACTATAAGTAGGCTACCTCAACAAGTTGAATTAGACATTTTGGAAATCCTCATGAAATCTATACAGCTTGACTTTGTGGGCCAAATCTGACATTGGGATGGAATTAAGATTTGTATACTAAAGTGTCATGAAATACATAATGGTATCATAAAAGTTTATCTTAAAAATGTTGCAAAAAATAATTTTCTGAGGCAATAAAATAAGAATAAAAAATGTGCAAAATGAACTAAATCAAATAATTCAAGGAACAGAGGTAAAGTTGGTTTAATTTAAGATAACTCTAAAAAAAAGTGTATGTATTTGATGACCTCCTTTATATAAATTCATATTTGTTTGGATATAACATTTATTAGTTGTAATAGAGTTGTTTCTATGGACAACTCTTTGTGAAAGTTTGTATCAGATCATCTTATATAACAGAGTTGCAGTTTTGGATAAAACTTAACTGAAATAAAGGTTCATCAGAGAGGAAACATGTTTTTAGATCAGTACAAGCTATTTTCTTTGTAAGTTTCCAGTTTTAAACTTATAATGGTTGTAATACTTGACTACCACCACTTGGTCACAGTAATGTAGTGAACTGTAAACCAGTCATCATAAAAAACATGACTAAATTAGTAAATTAATTACTTAATTATTACCAATAAATTAGTTCCCAGTTTTTTCGATTAATGATGATTAAACCGATAGTTTCAGCCCTGTGAGATAGATGTGTGGTCCCTTCAGTAATTCGTAAGCCTCATGAATATGAAACAGTATTTTAACCTTAATCTTACATTCATGCTGAGCTGTGAATATAAGAAGCTGTAAAAATGTACAAATCATTTTGTTTTTCATCTTCAGATCTTTTCTCTGAGGTGGTTAAACCCAGTTTGGTTCTGAATCATTAAACACCAACATAAAGGCACAGGTGAGTAAATACTCTATTGAATAACAGAAATAGCTGAATACTAAAACAGGATCCTTTTTAATCGTCATAATAACAGAGAACAGATGTTTTGATTACATCTGTACTGTATACTTCAGGATTATGGAGCATCTAGATAATAATGACATGAATATGATGAATTATATTTATTGTCCTTTTAAATAAAGGGAATTTGATCCTTCAAGGAAGAAATTATTTTTTTAGCTGATATACTCTTTAGAATTTGTTTAAAATCCAATCGATGACTATAATCGATGACTATATTAATAATTAGCTTTTTATAGAAGTAATGTTTGAAGGATACCTATAAAGGAAGCCTGTTTATTCCACTTTGTTTTACTATACATATTAAATTAAATTGTCTTATATCGTTTTACCTAACTCCCAACTTAGATAATTTAATTACTGTTTATATATGTATATCTGTCTAAATGTATGTAAAGCAGGAGGATGGCGGTAAATGTCTACTCCACTTCTATGAATGCTGATAACCTGAGTCGCCATGACATGCTGGCATGGGTCAACGACTCTCTACAGCTCACCTACACAAAGATTGAGCAGCTCTGTTCAGGTAGTAACTTTTTATTTTAGCATCATTATAGATTCAGAATTGATGTTTAGACTGCCAGTAATTTAAGGGCTGCTTTTGTTACAGGTGCTGCCTACTGCCAATTCATGGACATGCTGTTTCCTGGGTGCATATTGTTGAAAAAAGTCAAGTTTAACGCCAAACTGGAACACGAATACATTCACAACTTTAAGGTTTTACAGGCTGCGTTCAAGAGAATGAATGTGGACAAGGTGAGAAAGATAAATCCCTGGTTACAATCGCAACGTTATGTTTGAAATATAAAAAGCCTACATCCTACATCGTCCTTGTCGTTCTTAGATCATCCCTGTGGAGAGGCTGGTGAAGGGGAAGTTCCAGGACAACTTTGAGTTCCTTCAGTGGTTTAAGAGATTTTTTGACGCCAACTACGATGGGAAAGAGTACGACCCTCTACTGATGAGACAGGGTCAGGAAGGAACGCCACCTCTGCCAAACCCAGGTTTGAAAACGAGTGTCTTTATGCGTGTGTGTGTCTGAGACGTTAACACTTCATTGCTTTATTTAATAACCTCATATAACCCCCTCCCCACCTGTAACCCAGGAGAACCATTTCATCCTAAACCTAAACGCCCCCCTCGCTCAGGTAATGCCACCCTGCATGTCTTTGCTGGGATGTAAAGGACCTTTTTTGGATTGCCGATCAGTTAATTCTGGTTTGATGTGCTCAGTCTTGGTGTGAATTGGTGTGTTTCTTTTTACACAGAAAGTTTAATACTTTTTTTAATTATTGTACTGTGAGATTGCCAAATAAAGAGACAATGAACAAAACATCATCTGATTGTTTGGGTTTCAAGCTTGATTTATGCCTTCAGAGTTTACAAGTATGGAAAAGTTCGTACAACTAATAATGTACTAATAATGTCCAAAATATCACAATTTATTTGTAAGATATACAAATAAATTGGGATTTTATTAAGGTGGAAAAAGAAACAATCAATGAAAATATGGGTACATTTTCTACACGTATTTCAAACAATAATATTGTTAATAATGATGTTGTGTTTTGCTAAAATCATGAAATCCTAAATTTTAAACAACTCCATATATAGAAAATATCAAACCTTCTTCCAGAAAGCACCGCACTGTTGTCATAACACTGGTTTTTGCTTAGATATGGTGTGTTTACTAATCAGAAAAAAGAACAGATTTTTGAGCTTGTGACTAAAAACCCAAAAGCTGGTGATGGTTAACAGTACATAAAACAAATTCTGCATTTTAAACACGGTGGCAGGATAGTTTGCCTTCAAATGTTGAGACTCTTGTGAATTCCTGCTTTCCAATCAGCTTTTTTTCCCCTCGTTAAAATAAGCAGATTATGGTAAGTGAGGGTAGATTCCATCTCTTTGAAGGGTTTTGGTTTCCTTTAAGATTGATTTTCAAAGTAGAGTTAATCAAAATTTTAAAGTTCAGCTTTTCTGTTTATTAAGCAGACATCAGAAGTAGTTGATGGAGTTGAATGTGGTACGGGTCTTATTGTAGACATACAGCAGATTTGTTTACTCCATGTCTTCCACAATGACATGCCAATTATTTTAAATGTGTTAGAAACATAAAAAGAAGTTTGTGCTTCTGTGTCGCAGGTCCGATGAGGACGTCTCCCACTGCCCCGAAGACCGTCCCTGTTCCACAGAGACAGATCAACCCACCAGCAACTCGCAGGAACAACCCGGTTACCCGCAACGGAGGAGACGCAGAGCTCCTAGAACTCAACCAGCAGGTACCGCTTCTCTGACCAGTCCACTCTGGTTTCCTTAGATGTCTCCGATTAAAGCTGTATGCAGCAGTATCTATGATCATCTTTGACTTTGTCACATGTGGTGTCGTGGTGGATCTGTCCTCACATTCCATTTCTCCGATTTTTACCTGGTTTTAGATCATGGATATGAAACTGACTATAGAAGGGCTGGAGAAGGAGAGGGACTTCTACTTCGGCAAACTAAGAGACATTGAGCTCATCTGTCAAGAAAATGAAAACAACCCAGTTCTGGGGAAAATCATTGACATACTGTACGCTACAGAGGTCAGTTAATTGCATCTTTAAAACACACCGCACATATGAAACACCATGCCTGTAGTATTATTTCATAGTCTACCTGGCTTATAAATCTGTTGAAAATGTTAGATATTAGATGTTAGATATGTTTTTTTAACCTTTAATAAGATCACGATTCAGGTTAAAAAAAAATGCTAGTTGACGGGTAATTAGAGAAATATGTTTGATTTAAAAGAAAAACTTAGCTGTTTGGATGTTGAATACTATATAGAGGCTTGAAATATGTCTGAGTTTCTTTCAATGTGAAAGTAATGGAGTACTTTATGTTGGTTTGTCTGATTAAAATAAGTAAAATACTGTACAGCTTGTGGTCATAACATCTGTGAAAAATGCTTCAAAAGAGCACAGTAACTGGATGGTAACAAGCTCTAGTTTCTGTGTCATAAGTTGTAATAAGTCTTGTAAAACTTAAGTTGGCTGCATAAATTTCCTTGCTGTCTCGCTTTATGTGGGATATATTTATTACAGTATTTTGTAGATTGCCTTTTATCATTAGTTTGCAGACGCATTTCTTCACCAATGTGATAAAAGTAGCCGTTTGAAATATCAGGAAATCCCAAAGGGTCCTAGTTGGTAAGAAACGGGTAATTTTAGATCTTTATGGTCTTTATGCTGTATAAATAAACATAGTTGGACCTTAGAAAAATGAAGGGCAATACAAAAAGATTCAAATAAGTACAGTAAGCTAAAGTTAAAGGAAGATTATTTGGTATTGGTATTAAACGGAAGATTTAGCAATAGTGGTACACGCATAAAAACTGACCCGAGTTGTTTCCACAGGAAGGATTTGCACCTCCCGAAGAAGATGACATTGATGAAGGAGCACGAGATCAGGAGGAGTTTTGAATTCTTCCTCTTTTTCACCTCCATCTCTCACCTCTCATACTTTAATCAGACCATTGAGTCTTTTTAATTTTTTTGCCTGGTTTTACCTTCCTAAGTTAACTTAAACATTTTTCGACTTCTTCCATCTCATTCACGGCTTCACGTGTCCACGACGACTTTCTTGGACAGGCTAGGACTTTGACTGGCAGAGAACACTAACTTAGGTGTGTCTGGATAAGGGCCCGGCAGCCTGGCTTGGCTTGACTGACTAATTCTAACCCGTTTTAGAGGGGGCAGTTGGACTGCACTGTGAGTTCAGTCTGTCACTTGTTCAGAGATAACAGCGATGGGATTTTAAAACTGCAGCACTGGAGCCAGCAGTGCTTTAAATCTGTCTGTGAGGAGAAAAGAAGCCTCACACCAAGATGTTTTACATAAAACACTAGAAATGTTTTACAAGCATTTTGATTGTCTTTTTGTTGTTTTTTTTCAAGTTGAGATTATAAATGATCTTTTGCCTTTTAGGAGTAAGGCCTGCAAAATGGAAATATTTTGATTATATGCTAAACAGTGAATGATTAGCTCAACAGACATATCACAGACTGAACAGTACGTATGTACGCACTTAAAGCAGCTCTTCGCCCTGAGGAAAAAACATTACTGATGTTTTCAGTTTCATCAAGTTGCTCATCAAACTGTTCTGACTGCTTGTTAGGTGACAGCATGGTGTATTTATGTTTCTATTTATTTATTGATAATATGCTCTGTACAGTTTCTGGAAAAAAGAAAAATATGGTTTGGATTTGGAGAGATTGACAGTCTTGCACTATATGTAGCAAAACAAACTGGCTGAAATGATCCAAAATGCCAACAAGCAGTGATTGGCTGCTGCTCCCAGGAGGATACAGGAAGATGCAATTTTATATTTTTTAGATTTATTTTAAAGACATGTGGTTTTTTTTAATGCATTGAATCCTTCAGTGCCCAAGTCGTGGACGTCTTTTAATTTCTCAAACAACCATCAGGCTGTAAAATATAAATTTACAAACACTGCAGACCAACACTACTAAATACTAATGTTTATTTAGTTAAACATTTTAGCTGCTACCATTATTCCTCTGTTGCCGCTTTCAGGTTTTCATATGTTGTGAAGCGTTAAAACACCGCCATGGCTGCCAAGAAAAAAAGGCTTGGTTTGTTGTGATTAATACCCAGGATGAGCGTGACTGACATTAGTGGGAGCAGTCAGAGAGTAGGAAACATCCAACACTCTCTTGCTGTTTTTTGTTGTTGTTTTTTTTTCCGACCATGGTAGCCATATGATCAACTTGCATCATTTGGAGTTACTGCTGGAATGAAATAAAGCTTTGAGGATCAAGAAACTGAAAGATGTTTGCTGCGTGTCGTGATGTGGGTCTGTTTTGTTTATCTGATTCTCTGATGAATGACATCCGTGTCAAAATTGTAGATATACGGTTTTTAATGTACTTATATGCTTAATAAGCTGCAAGAAATGCAATTCTGCAGATTAACTACAATAAACAAAGACGTCGAGTAGATGCCTTCAAAATTCTGTAAATGAAAGAAATCTAGGATTTCTTTGAGCCTATAACTGAGTCATCAGAGAGAATCTGCAGCCAACTTCACCATCTGTTCAACAGACAGCAGCTAGACAAACAGATGAAGGTTAACAGGACCTGGCACATGTCAGTGAGGGTAATAGTGTACATATGGAGATGATGCAACACATTAAAAAGCCACAGAATGTTGGTACCTTTTCAAAAAGATGTAATAGTCAAATGTGTTGCAGATAATTATGCAGTAATTTACAATTATTTAATTATTGGTACCGTATGAACTTATAAAGTAGACCTGGTATTTCTATCCACTTACCCATTACTATAAGAAATTTCAATATTAAAATATCACAATAGAAATATTGTATAAATAGTTTATATACGGTAAGCAAAAAAAAAATGAAATTTTTATATGCAAACTGATCTTTTTTCCCAAAATAAATAAAATATGAGTATAGAATAGGTTAAGGGACTCCATATTATATTTCTTTTTTGTGCTGTGATTAACAAACCCGTAATTTACATCGAGTTATCTTACAATTGTGAAGCTGTTGATTTAGAATTAAAAGAGCTAGTTAAGATTAGCTATTTATTTCAAATTCTCTGAAGCTTTTCTAGAATGATTTCAACCATATTGTATTTTCTAATAGAGAAGTACTCTCATAATTGCAATTCCCCAAAAAAAAAGAAAAAAAAAACAATCCAATGGACTTGGTTTCCAAGTTTAAAGATGTTCCGCTTCCCATCCTGGAAGCTCAATTCAAAATGTCAGAAATAGCGTCTGTTTTGTTGAAGCTTTAGAGAGTGGACCAAAAACAGCCTTGTTTTGGCTTAGAAAACATGCAAACTGAACTGGACGAGCGGGTCTGCTTCTTTGGAATGGGGGTCGTTGGTTAGCCTGTAATACCCGATATCTGTCTATGTCTCTGAAAGGGGGAATTGTTGGCCTGTCTGAACAGGCCAAACTTGGAAACGTCTTCAAACCTGGAAACAAGGTCCAGTGGATTATTTTTTTTTTTTTTTTTTTTTTACTTTTTTGGAATTACTATGACGTGGATGACTGAGAATCTTCACCAGTATAATTGCAATGTTCATATTCTTAAATTAGAAAACCTTATTAAATAATTTCTATTAAGCTATTTAATGTTTTTTAGCTGTTTAACAGTAATAATTTAATCTCAAATGATTCTCTTTTTGACCACTGGCAGAAATAAGGTTACATAATATTTATGTTTAAATATATAATATTAAACATAAATTGGGAGAAAGTTGGGTTGCCTTCCTATCTAAGCCTGTTTGTAGTTGCCATGACCCGGATGACTGTGAATTTACACAGGATGATGCTGTTTCTACAAACCATTTTCTTTAAAAAAAACTTTTCTTTTTTTTTTACTTCTCAGAAACTAAAAATTTACTGAATTAAAGTTTGATGTTGATGTTTTGCTGTTTTTTATTTTTTTTTATTTTATTTTCCCATCCCTTGCTTCATTGAGTGTAACCATGGGTTCAGAGGCAGAGCTCTGACGTCAGGCCAACAAAGAGACGTGGCAGAGCCGCTGACTTAGCGGCCCGTCAGAGATTCACACGGGTCGGCAGCAACAAGAAGAGAGGAAAGAAGTGTCTATACCCCCGAACTAATAACTGGTCCATCGAAATCATGGCCTCTAATAATGGCTCAGTCGGCAAATGGGAGATGGTGAAGAAAGGGAAGAAAAGTAATCAAGGAGGAGGAAAGTCTAACGGGGGAAGGAAAGCCCTGGGGGAGTCCAACCAACCGTCCAGACGTAAGTGAACGAGGCCTGGTCCTGATAGCTAGTTCCCGTTTCTTACCTTACTTCTTATAATAAATAACACGTTGAGGTTTGCCTCTGTAGCTGTTAAAATTTTATTCTAAATACAGATATCCACAGAGCTAACAGCTGGAGTTGCAAACGTAGCAGGTCTCACAGCTGTCAACTGATTTGACAAGCTAGCTGTACAAGCTAGGCTTCATTTAGCGTTTCCCCTCTTTAATGGTGTTGTTTTTTTTACCCTCTCATTTTCAAACATATATTATCTAAACACATCAACAGACGCAGCGTTCACGAAATAAACTTATTCTGTCTGCGTTGAGCTTCTCGTATGAAGCTAATGGATAGCTTTAGCCGTTAGCCTTCCAGCAGCTTTTCGTACAGTGCAACAGAAAAGTCTAAAAAATATAGAGGAGCTCTAGTTTTTAATATAATTAGCTTTAAAGGTAATCACGAGGCAGGGGTTTCTTTTCTTTTTCTGGCAAAATAATTCTGGCTGATTATTAGAAAAGTATAATCCCTGATTTCCTGTTAACTAGTTAAAATGCTAATGCTAAAACTAATGCTGAGCTTCTAATTATTTAAAACTACAGTTTTTCAAACGTAGCTCATTTTGGAACCTTATTTATAATATCCACGTTTTTAACTTTAAGTTTCTGTTTCTTTTTGTTTCCTCTTTTGGGATTAAAATCTGGTTTTATTCATCACATTTCTAACTTAAATGACATGATAGACTTTTTTCTGTTTTTTATTTTTTATTATTAAGCAGCATTATTTTTGTGTAAATAGTCTGATATAACGGATAACTCTTGTTGAATAGCACGTACATACATATATATCCACACACACACACACACACACACACACACACACACACACACACACACACACACACACACACACACACACACACACACACACACACACACACACAATCAGTGGTGTCTTAAGTAACAAAAGTATGTACAAAAGTACACACATTTGTAACTTAAGTAGAAGTATAGATACTGCAGTTATCAACTTGACCTTTTTACTCAAGTAAAAGTGAAAAAGTATGTGCTCCAAAAACTACTTAAAGTATAAAGTAACCTTTAAAAAAACATCCAGATGCCACTATATGAATTGAAAGCTCAATTTTTTTGACTATTTCGAAAAATTCTTTGTTATAGGGCCAAGGATGAGGGAGGTCTTGTTGGTCTCTGTGTCCGACCTTTCAGACATTTCGACATCTTTTTCTGAATTCGACATTGTAGCATGGCATAGACAATTCACGTTTGCAGTTTGAACACCTGCTTACTTCTGATGATTTCCTTTAGCAAACCAATAAGTGTTTGCGTTATATGACTCATCCAATTACACTAGTTTTCACTAGATGTGGATGGAGCCAATGATCTGCATTGGATGGCTCACATGACATGAAATATTTATAAACATTAAACCGAAGCCAAGAGTAACGAGTAACGTTTGTTTTAAAAATGTAAGGAATAGAAAGTATAGATACTTGTGTAAAAATGTAATGAGTAGAAGTCAGAAGTAGGAGGAAAAACAAGTATTGGAGTATGCTACAGGAAGTATAAATACCTAAAAAGTGTACATAAGTACAGTAACAAAGTGTTTGTACTTTGTTACTTGACACTTCTGTATATATACCGTATACATTTTAAGCCACTCTAAAGCCAATGCTGTAATTTTCCTTAAATAAATTGATCTGAGGATCAAACTATACTGAAGTACTTTCTTGTGGTATGATATATTGACTGAAAACATTAGTTTTGCAAGATATGACCTTCCCCTAATGCTGTGGAAATTTAGAAATAACTGTCCTGATTGCAAATACCGTAGCTAGTTTTTCTCAACAGTCTTTCTTCATTTTTATCATCATGACATTCCAGCCATTTTCACTGCTTGTTATTGTTAACATCTTATTCACTGACATGTTTCTCTGCTGTAGGCTCAAAGGATATAAAAGCTCAACACATTTTGCAGAATTTTGCGCTTGAGCTTGAAATTTTGTCAAATAAACATTTTTGAATGATTCAAAATGTACAAAACACTATTATTGAATATCTAGCTGGTAAATAGTCGATGCTTTAGAAGATAAATACATGCTATTTAACAACTACATATCCTGTTGTACTTCTTTTTATTTTTTGAGTTCAAAGGTATTTAAGTTTGAAAGTCTTTAGCTGGATTACTGGTTTGACTGGGAGTACAGAGCTATGTTGAAGTCCCAGTATTTTCTGTATTTGAAAGTTATTGGAAAGTGAGCCAGGTGTTCTCAGCCATTCCTTGAAAGCATGTGAATCTCCATTTGCTATCCATTAATGTGTTGTTTGACATGTTGATGAATGTTTTTTTTAATTGCAAATAGTGTAGATTTTTTATAAATTTGTAAATTTTATCACCTTAATGGAGGAAAGAACAGAAAAATATCGGCTTACAAAAATCTGCTGCACATATCGGGGATCGGTTAGACTATCAGCTTTGGCCTTAAAAACACTGTATCAGTTGATCTCTGCTTATTATTATGGGTCATTTTCCAATGTTAACTTAGTATGTTAACCTAATTTAGGGGGGGGGGGTAATCTTGACCTTGTGATCTGTTTATGTTCTGTTTTTATCAATGAGTCACCCCATCCAAAGTCCAGATGTTCAGTAAACAAAACCAGCCTACTGTAACGGGGAGACTCTGTTAAGGTTTTGCCATTAAGGTAATATTTTTGTTAAGTAATTAGTCCTGAATCTAGACTAAACAACAGCAAAGTTTCTCTGCAGTTTTGTGTTTTTACAAAGTGATCAGCTAACTCTGATAAAGGCTTTCAGCTTTTGGTCATGAGACTCTTTGTGATGGGTTGTGATTTTTATTTATTTTTTCTTCTGTTCTATATTTAAAATAATCGGTCATTAAGTTGAACTAAAAGATTTAAATTTTGTTGCTGAAAAAAAAGACTTTGTTCCTAACAAGTCTACTCAGTCCTGAATGACTTCTAAAACATTTTGAGATCACAACATCTTTGATAA